AGTCACCGTGGGTATATAGTCACCCTGAGGCGGCTGAGTCACCGTGGGTAGTCAGGGTAGTCACCCTATGGCCGCCCGTATCCGCCGTGTGCCCAGCTGTGGTAGTAGTCCGCTCCACGGCGGCAGCCGCACACCGGCATCCGACCGGCCCCAGACCCCTCCAGACCCTCCGGTCAGCCCAGACTTCCATACACTCTCCGGCCAGCGCGGGTCTGAGCTCGGGCCGCGGGCTGACCCTCTGTCCAGCGCCGGTCTGAAGAGCCCCAGACCCGTCCAGACCCTCCAGCCAGCGCCGGTCTGAGATCAAACCGCGGGCCGTCTCTCTTATCACCGCGCCAGTCTAAGTCCGGGCCGCCGGTCGCACACAGACCCTCCCAGGCCGCACACAGACCTTCCCAGACTGCACACAGACCCTCTCCACACAGACCCTCCTGGGCCGCACACAGACACTCCCAGACCCTCCTAGGCCACACACAGACCGCACGTACACAGAATCGCCCGGCGCCGGTCTGAGTCCGGGTCGTGGAAGGGAAACCAGCGAGTCGTACTTCCTGTCCAGCAGATTCCCGTCCGTCCGTCCGTCCGTCCGACCCGCTGACCGAAGCTGAGCTCCCGGCCGCGCACGCCGCACAATGGACCGGACACTCCTTTGTTCAGAGCTGTGTCCGAAATACAAAACAAAACCAGCGGTTAGCGGCTGATCGCCAGCATCGTAGTGCGCTGGTGATCTATACTTATGGAGAACGGCAATGTTTAGGCATCCTGCTGTTTTGCATATCCGTTTCTGATGACTGATCAGCAAAAGCAGCAGTTTCGTGTCGTATTTCCCAGTCAGCGGAACCGTTCTTGTAGGATAACTGTAGCACGACGTTTTTGTTTCGTCCATGCCACCTCTGTTATTGCGGAAACGAGCCGCTTGTCACGAGCTCTGTCGCTACAGCGCTGGCTGCGACAGGCTTTGTTTTCAAAGTCGCAGTTTGTGGGACAACTTTCGCTGCTTAGAGGACAGCGGAATGACCTATGACAGACCTGCACGGCGGGCAATCCTGGCGCCGAGCGCCTGTTGACGGATGTGTCTGAACTGTCACCACTATGTCGCAGGCCAGAGCCCCTCGTGACGCCGAGAGGTGTATACCAGTCCGGCATTTACCGGCCGGTAACCGTGCGCGCAGAAAGTGAATGGCCGCAGAGGGGAGGGGAGGGGGCGAACCGTGACGGCAGGGCGTCTGGAACGGGCCTGAAAATGACCCCGTCAGCCCGCGCGCACCGGAACGGGGCGGAGTGGCGCCGGGCCCACTGCTAGAGCCGCGGAAACAGGGAGTAAAATACAGGACCCTTCACCCGGTGCAGACCTCTCGGTGATAGAGAACGACCTGCAACTACTGACAGCCCACCGAGTTGCACATCCGAGGTTTTCTCAGAGGTAGAGACATGAAGGGCTGGGTCTGATAATATTTATCGACAGTCGAAGTCGACTGTGTCTGGGCAAATTATGCTCAATCAACCTGCATTCCGTTTACTCGTGAGCTAAGACCGTCACGACTCGGCGGTCCCAGGGAGCACAGGAAGCGTCACACCGAGTGGCGTCGTGACGTCACGGCCGGCGCCAGGTGGCCCGGCTCGCCGGTCCGCTGAACAGGTGCCGGGCCGCCGGCCGGGCCCGGTCCCGGGCCGCCGGGTGCGCCCGCAGTCCGACCGCCAACAGTCGCCGCCGCCGGCAGCGCCCGTGATTGCATCTCGGGGTGTCCGTGAGCGCGTGTGCCGTGATATCCCGCCGGCGCGGCTGGTGAAGGTGCGGTGTTACGAAGTGGCTCACGCCGGCGAGGCTGCGAAAAGTGTCGTGTACCGTAGAATGAGAAGAGATTCATTCGGTGCTTTGGACCGATAGGAAACAAAGGCATTTGCGTGCAATGCGGTGAAGGAAGTTGATTTGGTAAGTTTTCTGTCGAAACTGATCATTTTTGCGACCACTGCACTCATTTCCTGCAATAAGATGGTAAATTCCTGTTCTACATGCATGGTAAGTTCTGTTCTACATGCCATGCATGGTAAGAAAACCGATTGCTCAATGGTGATCACGATCAGTACATGATCACTTTCATGATCCGAAACCAATGATATCGCGCCGCTGGCCCTTGAATAGTTGATCACGATCCATAATCAGTAAAGCAGTGGTGGCTTATGCATTATGAAGAGTCAATCAGTAGGTAGGTGTGTTTTTCTGCCACGTGTAATGTGGAATAGGTATCATCATTATTTGCAAACAGCTACATTTCCCCAACAGACATCATGGGAAGAAAACGATATAGATCCCATTCGGAGAAATGAAGAACCCTCCATATCTAATATGACACGTTTGGTATCTTACCCACCACACGCTATATCGCTAGGGGAAGAATTTTGTCATTGTCACGGTACTTAAGTGCTTTTTATGGTAGTAACATCAATCGGGTAAATCATAATTGCTTTTGTTTCAAAGAATCTTCCAAATAATTCCCTTTAGACGGCAATAAATGATTGAACTCAGCTATTCCGAGCCACACACCTCCTGTATCCCCCCCCCCCCCCCCCACTGTATCGTCTGTGAGAGGACAGGAGACGGTAGCTTTAGTAAAGATAGCTCCTGCGCGGGTACTGTTATTGGCCGAGGTCACCGCTGTATTACGGAGCGCGCATGCCCCAGTCTTCTGGCCGTGCGTCTGCTACAGCCGAATGGCCGGGATATATCCGGGGCAGAACCACCGTCTTACTGAGCGGCCGGGGGTGTATGTCTCCGCTGAACGGACGGGATATCCGGGGCAGAACCACCGTCTTACCGAGCGGCCGGGGTTGTATGTCTCTGCTGAACGGCCGGGAGATATCCGTCAAAGACAAGTGACTTTGACGGATGGGCGACCGGAGTGTGTGCCACAACTGAGTGGTCGGGAGATATCCGTCAAATATGGGAACATGCATCAGGGACGCGTGGCAGATCTGCCCACTGCCTCTGAGCGGCCGGGGTGTCTCCCGCGGGTGCCAGCTCCCCGCAGATCTGCACTCGGTTCCCGTCGGACTCCGAACGGTGTCGGACAACGGGGGCATCCACTGCGTCCACCGCGTACACCGCGTCCACCACGGCGTCCAACGTGTCCACTGCGTCCACCGAATTTGCCACGTCCACCGAATCCGCCACATCCGCCGCGTCAACCGAGTCCACCGCGTACATAGATTCCACCGCGTCCACCGCGTCCGACCGGACGGGAGACCGATATCTGGTGGAAAGTGGACAGACCTTCATGCTCGTGAAATCGTTTGGTCATTGTTTAGCTTTCAGAGTGTGTGTATAGCGTGCAACTTTGCACAGGCATTATGCCATATGCATTTTTTTAAGATAAGGATATGAAACGAGTTACAAACGCTCGAAATACTCACAATGCCACTCAACTCAATGCTTTGGCACTACCTGCCATGAAACAAGCCTATCTCAAGCAATCGACTTTGCGTCATAATCATATTCATCAGTAGGTACTACCTAAAACCAAATGTAATTTGAACTTTGGAGCATATCAACTGTCAGCATAATTTGCCAATTAAGGTAACACAGAGAAAAATTACACTGGCATAGTCAGATCGTTTTAACGTTAATTCATTTTAGTAGGTAATACTTGTTCGAGTAAACGCCGATCAGCTGACACGGTCCTGGATGACACGGCCGGATGGACACACCCGCACGGACGGTGTGCCCTTGCCGGCCCGATGACGCGTTCGGACCGTGACGTCATTAAACCGCCGTCACGGAGCCAATGGGCGCAGCGTGTCAGGGGCACAGCTCGTGCGTCACGTGGCCAATAGGACGGGCACGCGCTCACCTGAACATCATCAGAGCTGCGGCGTGCTCTTTTCTGGATCATCACCGCTGGGGAGCGGGAGGGCACGGACTCACTATGCAGATAGTGATGGTCTCTCCCGTGACACAGATTCAGGACGCATCCCTTCAGTGATTGAAATACCTTCTTGACAGAATCCGAATGCTCTGAGCTAGCCATCTTTTATGCGTTTTCCTCATGCTGGATTGAATTCGGCCGGCCTACTCTGGTCTATTGCAGGGCAGAAGATGATGAGATGGGATGATCAAATTAGCCTGAGTCGGCCATCGACTGGTGAGCCGTGCAAGTTCACCCCTTTAGGCCTTTAGGTCAATTGGACGGGCAAATGGACGGGCAATTAGGACCGGCATCTTTCCAAAACATGTTTTCTCTGGAGGTGTAAGGATATGCGGCAAAGGCTTTCTGTTATATTGAAATGGGTTTACCATTTTTTTTTGCGATTTGGGCTCAACATAAGAACCATTGTCTAAACATATCAATATGAGAGCGTTGTCTCTAAGCAGCTCTGTATGACATTGAACAAATAGGCAGCCACCAAATTTCCCGCACCACCTATTGATAATGGGGGCGTCTTAGGAACGTGTCAGAACCTACAGGGGCATTCGCAGCGAGAAGATACGAGGAAATCAGGACCAGCATTTGCCATACAGGCTGCCAATCATCCAACACAGTGTAGATACCCGTATTAGCATGTTGTTGAGCCGAAGTAGTCTTCCTCGCTGTCGATTTGCGTCTGTTCACACCACGCCCGTTCGTCCGCAGGTCAGCCGCCCAAGCCACCGCGCATGTTGAACATCGAGAGCGGCCTCGACTTCACCCGCGACCCGCCCTCGTTCTCGTCCCTGGCCTCGGGCGCCTCCTCCGATGGCGGGGGCGGGGGCGGCGGCGGCGGCGGCGGCGGCGGCGGCGGCGGCGGCGGCGGCCGGCTCCACGAGGCCATCAACCACGACCTGGTGCTGGCTCACGAGGCGGCGCAGCGGGCCGCGCTGCAGCTGCGCTCCGGCTCGGTCAGCACAGAGGCCGAGTCCGTGCTGCGCGAGCTCGACCGCACCCTGGACGGCGCCGGCGCCGGCGCTCAGCACGGCTTCAGCTCAGAGTTTGCCGCCCAGATGGCCCGCGAGCGTGGCGCCGGCGGCGACTCGGGCACCGACAGCGGCCGGGGCCGCAGCGCCGAGCCGGCCAGCCCCGGCCGCTGCGAGGCGCGCACTCCTGAGAGCGGCGCGCGCAGCCCGGACAGCGAGCCACTGAGCGTGGGCAGCGGCTGCCGCAGCCCGGAGCCGCCGCCGCTCAGCCCCGCGCACTGCCAGGAGGACGCGCCGCGGCCGGCGCAGAGTCCGAGCCGCCCTCCCCGACGGAGTCCGGCGCGCCGCCCGACGAGTCCGCCGTCCCACCCCGTCAGCCCAGACAGCTCCGACCCGTCCCACCGGCCCGCCGCCCAGCCGAGTCCCCCGGCGCACCCCAGCTCCCCGGCGCACCCGGCCGCCGCGCGGCGCGTCAGCAACACGGAGAACTTCAACCTGGTGGAGGAGATGACGGACGGCGGCCGGAGTGTGCTGGCGCGCCCCGACGACTTCGAGAGCCTCTCGTCGGGCGGCTACGACATGGCCGAGGTGGGCGTCACGCGGTTCCCGACGCCGAGCACGCCGCGCACCACGCCGGCCGCCAGTCCGGCGCCGCGCGGCGAGTCGCCCCTGTACGCGGCGCCCGAGCGGCCCCGGCGGCCCGAGCACGCCGTCGTAGTGGCCATCGACTTCGGCACCACCTACAGCGGCTACGCCTTCAGCTTCGTCAGCAGCCCGGGCGCCATCCACGTCATGAGGAGGGCTGCAGGTGGGTCCACGTCATGCGGAGGGCCGTAGGTGGGTCCACGTAAAACACCACGCTAAAAATGGCGCAATATCGTGTAGTTCCATAGAACACAGATCAACTATCAATTTCCAAATTAATCACTTTTTAGTTTTTACCAAGATGTTAGGCGCAGCGGCCTGGCAGCGACGGAGTAGGTCAGGGCGGGGGAGGGGGGGGGGGCACACGCGCGCGGAGACTGGGGCGCGCGTGCTCCTCCTGTAGGGCGCGCGTGCTCCTCCTGGCACCGTTACCTCGTGACCGCCTCAGTCGGACGGCGAGGGGCGCCGCGACTGTGTGCGTACGGAGCTCTGCACGTGCGGAACGGTCGCGGCCGGCCGCTCCTCGGCTCCGGCCGGCACTGGGGAGGGACAGGGACAGCGTACGGGCGCTCGATAGCGTGAAGGAGCGCTGCTCGAATATCGCCCTGACCTGTAACATCCAGAATCATAAATAAACAGAAATCCTAAGAAATCTTGTCACCTTCTTCTTGACCGTATGGTTCCTGAGCATAGGAAGATCATTGACGACATTTGCTAGGCATTTGAAGCATGTTTCCTGTACCTAGAGTTACTTCGCTTTGAGCAGTAATGCGATCAGAAAATGAGTTGTTGGTCACAAAAGATGAGGCAAAGCAGCTTTGGCATTTTACTTCTCTAATATATCGTAATTCGCGATGCTAGCCTACCATTGAGCACTCAGCCGTTCCCAGCGACCCCGCCGGGAGGTCCCTCCCCCCAGGCGGTGACGGTCCCGGCCCGCTCCCCAGGCGGTGACCCGGGCCTCAACAATCAGAAGACGCCGACGGCGCTGCTGCTCAGCCCGGAGGCCGAGTTTAGCGCGTTCGGGTTTGCCGCCAGGGACGCCTACCACGACCTGGAGCCGCGCCAGGCCGCCGAGTGGCTCTACTTCGACAAGTTCAAACTGTCCCTGCACACGGACGCCGTACGTGACCGGTGGTGACGGGTGGTGGTGACGGGTGACGGGTGGTGGTGACGCCGTACGTGACGGGTGGTGACGGGTGGCGGCACCATGCGTGAGGGGTGGGTCGGGGTTGCCAGAGGTTGGTATGAATAGGGATCAGGTTTAATGCTCGGTACAAACGCCTGCATAGATGATCGTCTTCATAAAACTCACAAACGCGAATAGAGATACCTGGAAAACAATGAAATGTAAACAAAACCATGGTCCCTATCAGAGAAGTGCGTAGAATCGTCATTTCAACGGTTTGCAAAGTCTCCAGAATACGAAAATGTGTCTGACCGCTGTGCCTCCGCTGAATACGCAGAGTCTGGGCGTGGACACCTACATCCCGGCGGCCAACGGCCAGTGCATCTCGGCGCTGCTCGTGTTCGCGCACGCGCTGTCGTTCTTCCGGCGGCAGGCGCTCGACGAGCTCGACGACCTGCTCGGCTACGAGATGCCTGCAGGGCAGATTCGCTGGGTCATCACCGTGCCGGCCATCTGGCGACAGCACGCCAAACAGTTCATGAGGCAGGCCGCCTACAAGGTGAGACAATTTCCCCAAACAGTTCATGGGGCGGGCGGCCAACGAGCCTCACTATTGTACCGTGGCTGAGATAACTCCCGTGAATTGATCAACCCTTCCCCGTCCGATCCGCCTGACGTGCCTCATTGGTCCCTCTCCTTCCGTCTTCCCTGTTCTGTTGTTCCGTGAAGGATACACACGATGCGCCTCACCCGCTCGTCGGTCGCCGTGCCGTCGCCGGCACTGCAGAGACCGTGCCGACGCGGCGGACCGTAGCGCGCCTGTCGCGCTCGGCTGGAGACCCTAATCACAGCCCGCCCGGCGGAGGAGTACGGGTGTGGGTGTGGAGGCCAACCGCAGCGCCAGCCACCCCGAACCGAGACAGCCTCCGCGGCACGACGGAATGGTGCCGTCCCTCGGCACCGGCACCGACACGGCACAGACACGGGACCGACACGGCAGACACAGACACACCTTTGATAGGTACAGAGAAACCCTTAACAAACCGCTCCCCCTTTCCCTTCCCCAGGCGGGTCTGTGCTCGGAGGACCTACTGACCTCCCCTGACCTCCCCCACCCCTCCCCCAGGCGGGCCTGTGCTCGGAGGGCCGCCGCGAGGACCTGCTGATTGCCCTGGAGCCCGAGGTGGCCTCCGTCTACTGCCACAGTCTGCGGCTGCATGAGCTGGTGCACGAGGGCGCCGACCGGGTGTCCGTGTACGTGCCGTCGCGCGGCGAGGAGGCGCGCACCGGCGCCGCCGTCCAAATGGTCAGAGGTCAGTGACGGAGGGGGTGGTCAGAGAGGAACGCCGCCGTCCAGATGGTCAGAGGTCAGTGACGGAGGGGGAGAGGTCAGTGACGGAGGGGGAGAGGTCAGTGACGGAGGGGGAGAGGTCAGAGGTCAGTGACAAAGGGGGATGGTGAGAGGTCAGAGGTCAGAGGTCAGTGACGGAGGGGAGAGGTCAGTGCGAGGGGGTCACAGGGTTGATGTCGTGGTTAGAAGGGAACGCCGCCGTCCAGATGGTCAGAGGTCAGTGCGAGGCTGTTTGCCTACAACTGTCTTTGTAAAAATGAATGACTTACGCACGAAAGATGAAATGGCACCAACTTCACGGGACGACGCCAGTAGTGCTTTTAAGCTCAAACCAGCATTGTTACCTTTTGTATCCAGTTACTGCAATAAAATTCGGTTTGATCATGGTAGGTAACCACCTAATACGATTATAAAATACGTATTTCGCAATCGGTGCAAGTGTGTCCAGCGTTGGATAAGGAGTATACCCGGTGGCCCAGCAGCCCGGCCCTCTCTCTGACCTCGGTGTCGTACCCCTGCCGTGTGCTGCTGCAGGCACGCGCTACCTGGTGGTCGACTGCGGCGGCGGCACCGTGGACATCACCGTGCACGAGGTGCTGGACTCGGAACACCGACGGCTCAAGGAGGTCTACAAGGCCAGCGGCGGGCCCTACGGCAGCGTCGGTCAGTGTCACTCAGTTCGCCCTCCCACCCGTCCGGAGGCGATTGCGCACACTCAACCCAGTACACATCTCCTCTCGGAAATCAGACGCATGTTTTTGTATGATAGCTGTATTATGATCGATGAATGTACACTGGAATAGGAATAAAAGCATTTCCGATAACAATCTATATGTATATGTAGTCGCACTTCTACCGGCAGGCGTGGACATGCAGTTTGAGTCGCTGCTGGGCGACATATTCGGCGCCGAGTTTGTCTCCGGGTTCCGGTCGCGCCGGCCGGCCGCCTGGATCGACCTCATGGTGGCGTTCGAGGCCCGGAAGCGGGCTGCCTCGCCCGACAAGGCGTCGCCGCTCAACGTGGCGCTACCGTTCGCCTTCATCAGCGAATTTAAAAAAGTCCGCGGCAAAAAGGTGAGCCGACGAGGGAGGGAGGGAGGGAGAGGGAGAGGGAGAGGGAGAGGGAGAGGGAGAGAGAGAGAGAGAGAGGGGAGAGAGAGAGAGAGTCCTTTACTCCTCGTCTGCTCTCACGTAATTCATTTACAGATCCAAAGCAAATATAAGGATGCATATTGTTTAGGTACAACAAATCAAATGCTAAATGCTGCTTGATCTAATAAGGTACCTGGGGCATTCCACGATAGATCGTACCAGGCCCGTCACCCTCATCTCTCAGATTTTAATGAAAATCGGTCCTAGGGGTAATCATAGACCCCAAAGACGCCTGGCGAAATATCAGACTTCTCAGATCAAAACTTTTTGAGTTATATTGCATTACATTTTTTAACTTCGGTTTGTAACAGTGAGTTTGATGGCCTATAACTCAAGAACGGGTTAAGCAACCAACAAAAAGTAAACAACACTAAGCTTGCGATGAATCAAAAATTAATATTACTTTTTAAAAATTCCAAAGAAAAAATTTCATTGTTGAGAAAAAACCTTAATAATTTTTAATTTGCCTCTAATGACTTTTGGGACCAAAATTTTTCACATTTTTATTTTTTCAAAATTAACTTCATGTCATTGCAAATCGACATGCAAAAAATTAGAAAGGTGTTCTTTCTATAAGTTCCTCATTTTCCCGCAAACAAAATGGGTTTCGGAGGGGTTGATACGACCCCAGCACGCCGTTTCGCTTCTTATAGAGCTAGAGCCTCGCGGAAAAAACGAGCGTGTGTGCCGTTACAAGTCGCAGCGATTGGTACCCGATTTTAAGGTCTCAGGTTAACCGGTAGCGTCTGAGGTCAGGTCAAGTGACTGAAGTTACGGGTTCGGTTTTTAGTAAATAACTTCGCAAAAAAATGGCCGCAGAGCCGCGATTTTGGCATCATTGTGTTCGCCTAGCTCACGTGCATCGAATGGTATACTTTTTGCTAGGGTGAGGTCAACTTAAGTAGTTGACCTCGGGTCAAGGTCAGGTCAGAGCCCCTCAGGTCACGAAGCTGGGCAAAGGGTATCATATGGCATATCATTCGATTCGGAAGGTCTTCCCGAGTCCATTGGTGGCTTTCCCGACTCTCTAGCTCCATTTGATCGGGAGTTATTGACGAAAAACTAGTACGACCCTAATGACGTCATAAATGACGTCACGCAAGGTTAACAATGCAAAAGTGAAGCATCGGTCTTTGCAAGGAGTGCATGAAATCACGATAACGTGTACGTGAGATAGTTTTAGATTTCAGAAAACCAACGTTGCTGGCGCCCGACACGGGCGGAATGAACATGTATTGTTCAAAACAATAAACATAATGCACTTGTCTGGAGCGTCGCCGACTACACGCCGCAGTAACACACCATAATCCTCTCTGCACACATCTCTACCTCTCAGTCTCCTTCCTCTAGCACGCGCCCAGACTGACCCGGCGAGCGGTCGGGTCACCGCCGCTCGCCGGGCCAGCGCCGCCCGTGGCGGGCGCCGCAACTACGGTTTCAGAAAACCAACGTTGCTGGCGCCCGACACGGGCGGAATGAACATGTATTGTTCAAAACAATAAACATAATGCACACCCTTAGCGAGATTTCACTGTAGCATGCTATCGGTAAACGAATCGTGAACCTTGTTGTGGACATAATGGTCCATAAACACAGAGCGAGTCTTCCAACGGCCGAGTCTCTGCACGTCGTCGGCCTTAAATCCACGGCGCACGGCCTCCGTCGCCCCCGTCGGCCGAAAGTCCTTGGGCCGATGGCCTGGCGACAGACCAAACTTCTCGGCCGCTACGATAGCGTCCCCTAGCACGCCCGCCACGGCACTGGCGGATACGGCGCCAAACGGTCGCACCAGACTGAGGAAAAGCGGCCGCGTTCGCGGGCAGCGCACCGCCGCCGTACGAGCAATATACACACGCAACGCCTCCACGGGATCCACCTGAGCGTCAGAACACGCCGGCAGCGTGACTTCGAATCCAGTTCTCTGCGTGTCATTTTTCACACCGAAGAAACACACAGTCGCAGCACCGTCAGAACTAAAGCTCACATGATCAGTCGACATGACAAACCGAGATGCGACACCCGATTCCTGATCGAAAGACGTCGCTTTAGGAGCCACATCCGACGGGCGTAGCATCAAAACAATGGCCAACAGCGTGATAGTTTTCATGCGCAGTTGCTTCAGCGTCAACTCATCATTACACGGCCACGAGCGGAACAGGCGAGTGAACGCGGACACATCCATGACACGGGATCGACTCATTGGCACCTCTGTTCCACACTTGACGAGCGCTTGGCACAGCCGGGAAATATATGAGTCTGATAGCAAGTTTGTTTCACCACATGCCTCATAAACTGCTCCTAACGCTGCGGATATGCATCGCAATGTGGAATGCGGCCTATCTGAAGACTTGCACCGCGACAGCAGAAAATCGGCCAAAATCGCCGTATCCTCCGGGGGAAATCGGACAGCACGATTGACACAAAAATCATGACAGTCTTGAATATAGCGATTATACGTGAGCTGCGTGGAATCTGCCAGGCATAGTGTCACTAAACTAGTAGCGGTTTGCGACCAGCCACGCGCGCTCAGTTGCGTGCGCCACAAATCCGCCAGGCGTACAGCCTCCAGCGCGGGTTCCTGTGTGGTTCGATCGTCTCGTAGCCCGGCAGCAGCGGCACGCATGCTCGGGCTACCGGCGGCAGCCGCAGTGGCGGGGCGATGCTCATGCGTCTCAGCCTGTCCATCCAGGGCTGCGCCGGCCAGAACGGTGCTATCAGTGTCGCCACGGCTCGATACGCTTCGATCGTGTCCAGAACGCGCGGTAACAGTCTGAAAGGCGGGTTTACGAAATTGTTGTGCTCGGCCCAGTCCGGCTGACCCAGCGCATCTACCCCTGCTGTCCCCGGGTCTGAGAACCGACTGTTGTACACGGGTAGGAGCGCCGTCGTACAAGTTGCGAAACGATCGATGGAATGGGGCCCAAACATCCGATCGAGCTGCCGGAAAACCTCTGGGTGTAAGTACCACTCGTGACGGAGCGGCAGCCGGGATAGTGCGTCCGGCTGCACGTTCGACTCGCCGCTGATGTGATGTGCCGTCAGCATCACTGTGAAAATAATACGGAGAATTGGCCCAGCCGAACGGCAAACGATTCCAGACGAACCAGCGCCCTCCGTACGCGAAGCCGAGGTACTTTCTAAACGACGGATGAACGGGAAAATGGTAGAACCCATCTTTTAGATCTATAGTAACTGCGCACTCGTTATCTCGCATAACTTCGGCAAGCACAGACACGTTCTCAGAAGAAAAATGCGGGACATCACAATGCGCATTAATATATCTCAGATCACATATCAGACGATGCTTACCATTCTTTTTCGGAACAACTTTCAGCGCTGAGACACACAACGGCACATCATGAACCTCCGACACAACACCTTTTTGCACCAAATCGGACAGTTCAGCATCGAGAAACCTACGCTGAGCACTATCAAATGAGGGATTCTGAAACAATCGCGGCTCTGGCTCGGACGAGAACGGAATACGCACACCATTTGCAATCCAGTCTATCACTACACTGTTAGCGCCGATGCGCTCCCACGCTGCTACGTTGAGCCCCATTGTTCACACGCGTAGAACAGACTCCGGTCAGTTATCATATGTCACTCCCGAGCCCCTCCCGGGCTGACCTCGTCCACGAGACAGGTCGAGGTCAAACCGGTCACGTGGCTGACCCCAGTCCGCCGGCTGGAACCCTGGACCGCCACCCCGCCGGGGGCCGTACTGGAAGCCGCGGCCGGGCCCGCGGGCGCCTCGCCACGCCGGGAAAGATCCCCGGCCACGTGATCCACTGACCTGGTGAGATTGCCGAGCCCCGGCGATGGTCACGGCTCGCTGAAGGTTCTCGAGGGAGTTCGGCGTGAAAGCTGCCGGATTTTGCTGTAGCGTAGAAAACAGCTTTGCCGTCCCGTCGTCGAACTGGGCTGATACCAGAAGTTGCGTGTACTCCTCCTGCAGGTAACGCAGGTGTGCCAGGCTGACAGCCGATACCTGGTTGAGCGCCGCGTCCTCCGGATCGCAGGCGGACAGGAGCTTGAGTACCGTCTCCTGATAGCGCGCCGACTTCTGTATGATGTTGAATCTCGGCAGGTCTGCCCTGCTGATGCCCGCACGACTGTCGCCAACCAACAGGTCTGGCGGTAGCTTCACCTTGGCGACGCTGTCGCGAATGGCCCGAAATTCGGCCTGCACTTCGCTGAATGAACCCAGCACGGCACTTGGCATCACTTGATGCTGCTGCTCGTCAGGGACGACCTGTCGACGACCGACATTGTCGTCTTTATCGCTTTGCTCTGTGCACTGAGAAGCACTTAGCTGTTTCGAGATCTTCTCGACGAGACCCTCGAGCCGGTCAAACCTCTCTGTGATAGAGGCCACCTGACACTTGAGCTCCTCCACTTCCGCCATCCGCACGGATTGGCTCGTAGCCGCCTCGAATACCGGCGGCTACTCACTGCTCACTGCGGACGTGACTCGGCGGAGCACGCGCCCAGACTGACCCGGCGAGCGGTCGGGTCACCGCCGCTCGCCGGGCCAGCGCCGCCCGTGGCGGGCGCCGCAACTACGGTTATTCTCGGCGCCAAAATAACGTTTTTTTATATTTCCCCATTGATTTATAACAGTGATGTCACGTGACCGACCTGACCTCATGTAACCTTAAAAAATTCCCAGATATACAGGTTGTGAAACCTCTGGAGGACACCATGTATGCGTCCTGTAACTTTCATCTCGGACAGCTATGGTCATTGGCGTCCAAAACAATGTCAGAACCAAACAACCTTTTTCACCCTCGCGCTTATAAGAAAGAGGGTTGGATGAACCCTCTTTTCACTTTTTCAGATGACTCAGACTTCAATTGAAATTTCAGTAACCCGTGATGTCATTAGGCAGCTTTACCACGCCATTTGTAAGCTCCCCTCCCGAAATCACTATTGGAAACCGTTATCGTGACGTAAAATAAATACATTTATAGAAAGAACACCTTCCTAATTTTTTTGCATATTTCTTAACAATGAGCCAAATATTTTTTTAAAGAAATAAAAATTAAAAAAAAAATTGGTCCCAAAGTCCAAAAAATACAAATGTAAGAAAACTCGATATATCATATATCAAAAAAAGCGTATTTTTTGAAATTTCAAAAATGCATATTAATCTCTGTTTCATTGCCAGTTCAATGTTATATAACATTTGGCATTTGAATAATCCGTCTTAGAGTTACAGCCCGCCGAACTTAGCGTTGCAAAGCAAGATCCAAAAAATGTTATACACTATAACTCAAAAAATACTTATCTGATAAGCCTGAAATTGTTACAGGTGGATTCAGAGCCCCTGATTACCCCTGAGACCAATTCTCGTCAAATTCCGAGAGATGAGGGTGTCAAATTGGAAAAAAGTGGTACGATCTATCGTGGAATGCCCCACCTAATCAAAACATCAATTTCGAGTTAGAATAAACAATGGCAGTCTACGGTCAATTCATATGATAAATAGGTACAAATACCATAGAATGTTTATAAAGCATGATTAATCATAAATTCAATGTTCAACAAATTGTTCGGTTGCCAACCAACTACAAACCACGCAACAACTCGATTGATTATCGGTATAGCATACCTAATACCTACCTAAATCGAGCACTGTACAAATTTCGAGTGGAAATGAAAAATAGCAACGATCAACCATTTACGAGCTGCTCACAACTTCTCTCCCAATGCTTTCGGCGAACGGCCAAGAATTCTTTCATTTTTCGTGAAATAGTCGTCGCGGTCGTGACGAACCGTAAAAGTCTCGCGGTGGACACCGACCGGTCTGCGAAATGCCAAGACCGTGGAAGAAAGATCCCGAATCGGTCCGCGACATAGGATGATTAGCATATTCGCACACATTTGTGTACCGAAATTCGGCAGTGTAACGATAGCAAAGGTATAGGTGAATTCCTGACCATATGCCCGACTAGGCCGTGTTACACTGCCGAATTTTGGCCACGACCCTGTCGCCGAATCATGTCGTGTAGGAAATCGGCGAACAGTTCACCGACAGAGACGAACAGTTCGCCGACAGAGCCCGATTTTCAGAAAACGGGTAGGGGGCCCCCCTGATCGTGCGCGGGTCGAAGCTGATCCATGATTCGGCGAACATCGCGAATGAATGGCGAATCTGTTGCGAATAGTCGGCGATACCTTGGCAACAAGTCGGCGCACGCAGCGACATGTCGGCGGCGACTCGGCGACTGTTTGGCGATCATGTTCGTTTTTTATAAATTCGGCGAACGGCCACGAAATTTTCATTTTTCATGAAATATTCGTGGCGGTCGTGACGAACCGTAAAAGTCGCGCGGTGGACACCGACTGGTCTGCGAAATGCCAAGACCGTGGAAGAAAGATCCCGAATCGGTCCGCGACATAGGATGACTTGCATATTCGTGCACATTCGTGTACCAAAATTCGGCAGTGTAAAGGCCGTGTTACACTGCCGAATTTTGGCCACGACCCTGTCGCCGAATCACGTCGTGTAGGAAATCGGCGAACAGTTCACCGACAGAGGCGAACAGTTCGCCGACAGAGCCCGATTTGCAGACAACGGGTGGGGGCCCCCCTAATCGTGCGCGGGTCGAAGCTGATCCATGATTCGGCGAACATCGCGAATGAATGGCGAATCTGTTGCGAATAGTCGGCGATACCTTGGCAACAAGTCGGCGCACGTAGCGACATGTCGGCGGTGACTCGGCGAGTGTTTGGCGATCATGTTCGTTTATTATATGTTCGGCGAACGGCCACGAAATTTTCATTTTTCATGAAATTTTCGTGGCGGTCGTGACGAACCGTAAAAGTCGCGCGGTGGGCACCGACTGGTCTGCGAAATGCCAAGACCGTGGAAGAAAGATGCCGAATCGGTCCGCGACATAGGATGACTTGCATATTCGTGCACATTCGTGTACCAAAATTCGGCAGTGTAACAAGGGCTTAACAAGGGCTTAAAGCCCTTGTTACACTGCCGAATTTTAATACACGAATGTGCACGAATATGCAAGTCATCCTATGTCGCGGACCGATTCGGAATCTTTCTTCCACGGTCTTGGCATTTCGCAGACCAGTCTGTGTCCACCGCGCGACTTTTACGGTTCATCACGACCGCCACGAATATTTCATGAAAAAGGAAAATTTCGTGGCCGTTCGCCGAACTTATAATAAACGAACATGATCGCCAAACAGTCGCCAAGTCGCCGCCGACATGTCGCTGCGTGCGCCGACTTGTTGCCAAGGTATCGCCGACTATTCGCCACAGATTCGCCATCCATTCGCGATGTTCGCCGAATCATGGATCAGCTTCAGCCCTTGTTACACTGCCGAATTTTGGTACACGAATGTGCACGAATATGCAAGTCATCCTATGTCGCGGACCGATTCGGGATCTTTCTTCCACGGTCTTGGCATTTCGCAGACCAGTCGGTGCCCACCGCGCGACTTTTACGGTTCGTCACGACCGCCACGAATATTTCATGAAAAATGAAAATTTCGTGGCCGTTCGCCGAACTTATAATAAACGAACATGATCGCCAAACAGTCGCCGAGTCGCCGCCGACATGTCGCTGCGTGCGCCGACTTGTTGCCAAGGTGTCGCCGACTATTCGCAACAGATTCGCTATTCATTCGCGATGTTCGCCGAATCATGGATCAGCTTCGACCCGCGCACGATTAGGGGGGCCCCCCACCCGTTGTCTGCAAATCGGGCTCTGTCGGCGAACTGTTCGCCTCTGTCGGTGAACTGTTCGCCGATTTCCTACACGACGTGATTCGGCGACAGGGTCGTGGCCAAAATTCGGCAGTGTAACACGGCCTTTCGACACGCGCACGCTTAAGGGGGGGCCCCCACCCGTTTTCTGCAAATCGGGCTCTGTCGGCGAAGCGTTCGCCTCTGTCGGCGAACTGTTCGCCGCTTTACTACACGACGTGATTTGGCGACAGGGTCGTGCCCAAAATTCGGCAGTACACGGCCTTAAGGTCGCACAAGTGCATTGCGGCACAGCCTACATTCAGGCGTAGTCACTAGTGCCATCTAGTGGCAGATCTTGACACCAAGTCCCTAACCATCTGCATTCTGCGATCTACCGATAGCAAAACAACGGAGATGAACGTTGTTGTTGTGAAATATATGTAGACACAGTATCTCTCGATAGTAATTGATGTATTTAGTTGAGTTTAGGCACGATAGCTGCTGAAGCTAGGGCCGGTCGTGAGTGCCGCGCCGACCCGTGCTGCTGACCGCCAGGTGGAGCAGGCGGTGAAAAACTACCGGGGCGGTCAGGTGCGCTACACGGATGGCATGCTGCGACTCGACTCGGAGCTGATGCAGCACCTGTTCGCGCCGACGCTCGACAAAATCACAGAGGTCAGTGTATAGGGTCACCCGAGACTTACCGAGCCCGTATCAGAAGCATTCCGTAAACACGATAAGTCGTAAAAAGACCCGAAACTTCTTCAGCAAGACGCATTTTTTTAAAACCAATTTCGCTATTACATAAAACTATTGAAGAATAATTTGAATGATCACTATGGTAAGCAACGGATAATTAACGTTATACTCATACAAATCGAGTAGCTTCGACAGCCTTTTTGAACACGTCTAAGTTTTAATGACCAGGCGTGAAAAGGGAATCCGGCTTCTGACATGACCGCTGTCTCACCACAGCAAGTGGAAAGTCTGTTCGACATGGTGTCCAACATGCAGTACCTCTTCCTGGTGGGTGGATTCTCAGAGTCCAAGCTGCTGCAGGAGCGGATGAAGAGGACGTTCTCGGACAGAATCAAAGTGGTGATACCCCAGGTAAGACTCAGGTGTCAAAGTGGTGATACCCCAAGTATGACCACTCAGGAACACACCAGTGCTTTACCGAATTGGCTTTGAAGCTGCATAACACGAGTTCGTACCTACATAAGTTGGATTCAATTCCGAAGACTCTTCGATATGTTGCGCTGAGCCGGTGATCCTGCATTGTCTACTGTAACCTTTCGTTATGGTATCTCGCTGTGACCCCCAGAATGGCCTGCCTTTTGCCTTTTGTCTGCCTATTGTTGTGACCTCCCTGCTATGTTGTGACCTCCCCGCTGTGTTGCACTCCTCATGAAGTCAGCCTGGCCGTTCAGTGTCTGTGGTGACCTCCCCGCTGTGTTGTGACCTCGTCGCTGTGCCGCACCCCTCAGGAGGTCAGCCTGGCTGTGCAGTGTCTGTTGTGACCTCGTCGCTGTGTCGCACCCCTCAGGAGGTCAGCCTGGCTGTGCAGTGTCTGTTGTGACCTCCTCGCTGTGCCGCACCCCTCAGGAGGTCAGCCTGGCTGTGCAGTGTCTGTTGTGACCTCGTCGCTGTGCCGCACCCCTCAGGAGGTCAGCCTGGCTGTGCAGTGTCTGTTGTGACCTCGTCGCTGTGCCGCACCCCTCAGGAGGTCAGCCTGGCTGTGCAGTGTCTGTTGTGACCTCGTCGCTGTGCCGCACCCCTCAGGAGGTCAGCCTGGCTGTGCAGTGTCTGTTGTGACCTCCTCGCTGTGCCGTACCCCTCAGGAGGTCAGCCTGGCTGTGCAGTGTCTGTGGTGACCTCCTCGCTGTGCCGCACCCCTCAGGAGGTCAGCCTGGTCATGCAGTGTCTGTGGTGACCTCCCTGCTGTTGTGCCCTCCTCAGGAGGTCAGCCTGGTCATGCAGTGTCTGTTGTGACCCCCTCCCTGCTGTGTTGCGCCCCTCAAGAGGTCAGCCTGGCCATCCTGCGCGGCGCGGTGCTGTTCCCGTTGTGACCTCCAGAATGACCTTTGTCTCAGGAGGTCAGCCTGGCCATCCTCCGCGGCGCAGTGCTGTTCGGCCTGGACCCGAGCGTCATCCAGGTGCGCCGCTGCACCATGACCTACGGCGTCGGCGTGCTCAACAAGTTCATGCGCGGCATCCATCCACAGGGTAAGCAGCAAACACCGGTCGACACGCGAGACGTCCGCAACGGTTGCTGCAGCCCGTGTTGTAGTCGGCGGTTCGTAAGCTGGTGAAATAATGCGGTTGCTCTTCGGCCTAAAATGCTTATGGTGAATGACGATGCTCACTGATTATGACATTAATGGCGTAAAACAGACGCCAAGAATTACACATTTCTTGGCATTTACATTTCTAGAAACACTTTCAAGATGACGTGCGAATCCATAGCCCGTCAGTATTCTTCACATTGCTGTTGAACTTTTTTTTTTGTCGCATAGACTATGACATGCTGTTACTGGTTCTTAGTCAGTGAGCCAGGTGAACTACTTAGCCTGTGGTTTTTACGGTTAACAACCCTGTTTCTTCACATTCCTGAACAGGGACGCTGCTGGTCCCGGACGGCCGTGCGTGTGTTATACCCTTCCTGTCCATACCCGCAGGGAAGCTCCTGGTGATATATCCCCCTGTCCATACTCGCAGGAAAGCTGCTGGTTCGGGACGGCCGCGAGTGGTGTGCCGACATTTTCGACAAGTTCGTGACGGCCGACCAGTCGGTGGGGGTGGGCGAGACGCTACTGAGGCGCTACACGCCGGCCCGGGCCGACCAGACCACCATCGTGCTCCACCTCTACTGCTCACACAAGGAGAAGGTCATGGTGAGTGTACCACCTCTACTGCTCGCACAAGGAAAAGGTCATGGTGAGTGTACCACCTCTTCTGCTCGCACAAGGAGAAGGTCATGGTGAGTGTCCCACCTCTACTGCTCACACAAGGAGAAGGTCATGGTGAGTGTACCACCTCTACTGCTCACACAAGGAGAAGGTCATGGTGAGTGTACCACCTCTTCTGCTCGCACAAGGAGAAGGTCATGGTGAGTGTCCCACCTCTACTGCTCACACAAGGAGAAGGTCATGGTGAGTGTACCACCTCTACTGCTCACACAAGGAGAAGGTCATGGTGAGTGTACCACCTCTACTGCTCGCACAAGGAAAAGGTCATGGTGAGTGTACCACCTCTTCTGCTCGCACAAGGAGAAGGTCATGGTGAGTGTCCCACCTCTACTGCTCGCACAAGGAGAAGGTCATGGTGAGTGTACCACCTCTACTGCTCGCACAAGGAGAAGGTCATGGTGAGTGTACCACCTCTACTGCTCGCACAAGGAGAAGGTCATGGTGAGTGTCCCACCTCTACTGCTCACACAAGGAGAAGGTCATGGTGACTGAGTGTACCACCTCTACTGCTCACACAAGGAGAAGGCCATGGTGAGTGTCCCACCTCTACTGCTCGCACAAGGAGAAGGTCATGGTGAGTGTACCACCTCTACTGCTCGCACAAGGAGAAGGTCATGGTGAGTGTCCCACCTCTACTGCTCGCACAAGGAGAAGGTCATGGTGAGTGTCCCACCTCTACTGCTCGCACAAGGAGAAGGTCATGGTGAGTGTCCCACCTCTACTGCTCACACAAGGAGAAGGTCATGGTGAGTGTACCACCTCTACTGCTCACACAAGGAGAAGGTCATGGTGAGTGTCCCACCTCTACTGCTCGCACAAGGAGAAGGTCATGGTGAGTGTACCACCTCTAACAGGAGAAAGTCATGGTTAGGGCTCCACCTCTACTGCTCGCACGGTGAGTGTACCACCTCTAACAGGAGAAAGTCATGGTGAGCGTACAGCCGCTAACAGGAAAAGGTCATGGTGCCCCACCTCTAACAGAAGGCCAATAGTGCTCCACGTCTACTGCCTGATGACTTCTACGGATCAATAGAGTGCAACAGCTGTTTAAAGTATTGTACGCTAGAATCGTCTCAGGCCTCCAACATAAGCAGTGCCGTTTAGTGCTGTCCTTACTGGCAACCAGTACGATGGATACACTGGCCCCGAAATGCATCGATTATCATGTATGGTAGCCAGGGTTCAACTCTTCACGATGCTTATAAAGCGCCGCGGGGCTCTGAGAGACAAACAGTGCACGTTTTTAGTGACACCGAGTGTGTGTGCTGTTTACAGTTTGTGACGGATGACGGGGTGGAGAAGTGCGGCACGCTGAAACTGATCTTAGAGGGCACCGCGCCGAGCCCAGCAAAACGGAGAGAAATTCAGGTCAGTGTCAAAATGAGCCGCCGTGGCACAGAACAACGGAATGTCTCCCCAAATATTTAGCTTTCTCTCTTAATGCTTGCTTTGAGGTGACTGGTCAGTGCTCAATTCCAATGTTTACAAGGTTCTCAGTCCCGTGAAAAAAATGATAATCCACCCATATCGCGATCATATATGAGCCGGCAGGGGCCCTCCTACTAAACCCTACGGCCTACCTGCCTGCACTCACGGTGACCACGGTGACAATAAATACCTGCACTGACGACTGGCGCCGTTCCTCGGCACGTGTTTCCTCGGCCAGGTGCGGATGCGGTTCGGTGACACGGAAATCCTGGCGTCGGCCGTGGACCTGGTGTCCCAGCGCTCTGTGACGGCGCACATCAACTTCCTGAACCTGTGAGCGGCCCTCACACACACAGAGGAGCCTCTGTCGGACGGTGCTGCCCTCTGCAGTCGGACCGCGCCTGCTGCCATCTGTCGCCGGTGCCGTCAAACAACCTTCATCGAAACATTGCTCGTGCCCCTAAGAGTGTATTATGAGGCAAATACTGCATCAAACTACGTGGTCATCTGCTGCGTTTATCACACATGCTGCATCGTTGTGTGTGTATTTGTGTGCTTGTTTCGTGCGTTGTTTCAATGTCTGTTTTAATTAAGACGTGAAGTGCTTATATCATGATATTGATATTGTGCAGAGCTTGACGCCGCATAGTATTATTCAATTAGGTATGCAACATGCATAGAGGCTTTAATGAAACCATCGATTGACACCTTACTGACATTTTCGTCGAAATATGAGCCACAACTTTTGTGACGTTGTGAGATAATAATTGACAAAAATCCCAAGTTGATGCACAGCTCTCACAGCATTGGACGGCTGGTCAGCCATGTGTTTTGGGGGATCATGACTAATTGACAAAGACACTCCAGTAAAATGACCCAAGGGAAATAAGAAGAAGTTTCGTGCATACACTTCTACAATGTTTTTAACAGTCTATAGACTTATGCATCAACACAGATCAATTATTGTAATGTTGGCAACCAACCCTCAATGCTGAAAGCTGTACAGTATGTCTAAAAAGAATGTACCGTCGCCACTACGTGGCGCTGGTGTCGCGAGCCGGTAGTTGGCTCAATCCGCACCAGACCACACATTCCCAAGCGTTAGGTGACAGCTGCGCAGCGGCCGGTAGTAGCGTAAGCCCGAACCTTCGTGACACGACCCCGGGGGGGGGGGGAGAGAGAGGGAGGGGAGCGGGCGGGGCAGCGCGTGCAGGGAGGGGTGCTCCGGCAAGCTGGCAGTTGTCGCGGCCAAAGGTCAAGGGGTCACACACCAAGCGAACGGACGCTGATGTGGGTTCGTGGGGATCGTGAACTTGTGTGTGGTAGGTGCGTCTTGCGATGCACGGGTGATACGCCATGGGTCTAAGCCAAATGATTCGGGGGAGAGCTGAAGAAAAATACCTGGTCAACTACGGCGAATAATGGTACTGAAAAATGGAAAGTATGGGTCAATGCAAGCCTTCATGACTATAAACTTTTCTGAGGGCGCAAAGGCCAGCATTGAATAACGACATCCGGATCGAAATTAGCAATGATTTATAATTACATGCCGAAGTAATAACGCTGCAAAACCCACCTAGTAAATTGTCAAGTCGGATTCATACCGACTTGAATTAAACTATCCTAAATTAAATTGTATATAAAATCTCTATGCTTTGACCAGCTTCGTGACCTGACGGGCTGTGACCTGACCTTGACCCGAGGTTAACACCTTAACTTGATCTTACCCGAAGAAAAAGTATACCATTCGACACGCCTGAGCTAGACAAACACGATGCTGCTAAAATCGCGGATCTGCGATCATGTTTAGCGAAGTTATTTACCAACAACCGAACCTGTGCCTTGGGCCACTTGACCTAACCTCAGAAGTCATCGGCTGATCCTAGTCCTTAAAATCGGAGACCAATCGCTGCATTTCGTAACGACGCGCACGATCGTTTCTTTCGTGAGGCTCTAGCTCATTAAGGGGCGAATCGGCAAAGGGGGTTGTTCCCTCACTTCCAACCCCCCAATGCCCCCTCGGTATTCAGAAAACCTGAAGGTCCGGTGAGGGTTAAAACGTTGCTCCTGAACGAGGAAGAAATGTAAAAGTCAAAGCTCTATAGACGTCCTGTAAAATTGGCCATAATAAATAAATTGGTTAGAGATAATATGCTTTTTAAACGACTTCCTCATATAAAATCGGGTGCTGGGACCAATCTTATAAACGCTTTAGAATGGACAGGGCGTCACTGGCTAAAGTTTGGGTGCAGGAAACGGCTATTAACCCGCGCACCGACGGGGGTCTGCGCCAACTTCGCACCGACGGGGGGGGGGGCGGATGACCGCCCCCCCCTGAGATCTCGAGAACGAAGCAAGATAGCGACAAGCGGTAAACGGCATCGGATACGCACGGTCAAGATCTACAATTTTTACTAAGGTCATTTACAGGTCAGGTCAAAGATGACGTCACAGGGGTCGAAAAAGTCAAAATGGCGGCGCTAGATATGGAGAGAGTTTTTCTCGAATAACTTTCGAATTAGTCAAGATAGGAACAAACTAAGGGCATCATCGTGATCCTCTCGTCAATCCGCATCGAATGATATATATGTTGACCTCGAAAGGTCAAGGTCAAAGGTTGACCTCAGGTCACGTGACCTCGAGGTCATCATGTATATCATTCGATGCGTCTTGACGAGCTGAACACAATGAGACCATCCACGCGGCTGTATCTTGTTTCTGTACGGAGTTATTGGCCAAAAACCTTTGGTGACCTTTGATGACGTCACATGACCTCACAGCTGCCCAACAGCAAAACAGACCTCAAGGTAGTGAAGGTTGGTCATATATGAAGTCATGTATGGTATATGGGGCCATTCCGACCCGTTTTAGTGGTAAAAACAGGGAGTTGATTTTTTCCCCATTGACTTATAATGGGGAGGTCGCGAAATTGACCTGACCTTAGGTCACCGATATCAAAATTCCGAGATATACAAATTGTAGCTACTAATGACCTAATAACATCCTGAGACTTTCAAAGGCCTCCGACATCTACTGTAGCTCTGGCACGGTGACAAAGTTGCAAAAAAGTGACTTGAGGTTGGGTCATTCAAAGTGACCTGGTGACCTGACCTTGAAAGGTAGGAGGTTCAAACTTGCACACCATGTGTAAAATTGATGAGGTTATAGTCATACCAAATTTCGCGGCGCTACGCGCCGCGGTTTTTCCGCTATTGGCGAAAAACCTCAGGGGGGGGCGGATATCCGCCCCCCCCGTCGGTGCGCGGGTTAAATGCAAAATGGTTTTCATGCATTTCAGTCAATTGTATATTGACGGTCCCAGTGGCCGAGCTAAAAACGTTTGGTAGTGTTTTGCATCTTTTACGCCCTAAGAAACTACACCATCTATTGAAGTGGGCGGGCTTATTTGAATGGGAGGGCGCATTATGCGTCAATCGTGTGCTTTCGTTTGCTTTGGACTGTATTTTACGACATCCACTGCTGGTATCACTATTAATATTATCTAATGCCGTGAATACGACAGCATTCCATTTATAAGATTGGGCCAATGGAGTCGCGCCCTGCGAGCTCGGTTTTCCGCTCGGCCGCTACGGGCCGAGGAAGTCGGTCTTCGCCTGAGGGCAGGACGGAGGTCAGCGAGGGAGCGCGGGGTCAGCCAGGTATCGCCCAGTCCCGAGCGGATGCCGCTCCCTCCCCTCTCTTTCCCTCTTCTCCCCTCCCCACCTCTGTATAGATGGGGAGGGACCGAACTGCCAATGACATGCGAGCGGTCAAGGCCGCTCGCGCGGCAGCGACCCTGGCGGCCGGGTGCCGCAACTGGGATTCAGCCAAGTTACCGATTCGCCTTCTGTGGGAGAGCCAAACCAGGGGACATACTTTTTAGACATACTGTACCCAACGTAAAGCATGTATCATGTATCATGCCTTGTATCATGTGCATTTAGAAATTGTACCTTTTGTGCTTACGTAGTGATATATTTCTATTGTTTACGAAAGACGTAAGAGAAATAAAGCCAAACATACCAAAGATCGACGGCTCCATAGAGAGACATGACCGCAACTGGTTCGCTATTATGAGAAATTCTAAACCACTTCACACCGTGTAACAATACGCAGTTAACAGGTCATTTAAGACGCACTGGCGAAGCGTTCAGGAGTATAGAAATGCAGCAACTTAACCCGCGCCCTGGTGGGGTCTGTTTATAACGCGACCTGGTGGGGGGGGGGCTATTTTTTGCCCCCCCTCGTATCTCCGAAACTACTGGACGGATCTGCAAAATTCAAACGGCGTTCGAAAGGCCTGTCAAATTTGTCGAAGGAAACCAAATTTCATTGACCTCGGGGTCACCGATGACGTCACAGGTCAGGTCAAAGATGAAATGTTTCACCGTTCACGGGGCTTCTAGGGAATGCGCTATAACACCGAGGAAAACGCATTTTGTCGAGAATCAGCGGTAGGGCGTCAGTTGCCTAGTAGATATGTTGCTATTAGAGGTCACTGGCAATACCAGGTCAGGTCACAGGTCAGGTCACCAAGGGTCACAGGTCAGGTCACATGAGCCCAACTTTACTAAGGTTGTGTGATACATGTTTTATGGCCAATTTTTCATTTCCAACTCAATGGTGTTGGTTATAAGACTATCAGGTACGGCTTAGGTCAGTTTCTGGTGAAGTTCAGGTCAACGTCAGGTCAAGGTCAGGCCAAAAAAGGTCAAATTTTAAAGTTGATAGTTTTGCATAAAATGGGTATTGATTCGATGCAGCTCGTCACGGGGAGTCTAATGGTGGTCTTTGTTTTGCGCTACGGGGTCTAGAATTGCTAAAAATTGAGTTTGAAAATTTGACGTCATCAATTTTGAACAGTTTTTTTCGCTATAACTTCGCCAAAAAAAGAGGTATCAATCTCAAATTTGGTATGTGGATGGAAGGCGGTAAGGACTATCACATATATTCCGGTTTTTGCGAAATTCAAAAAAACTTTTTGGATTTTTCGATTATTATATCCAAAAAATCTACTTTTTGATTTTTTGGGGTCAAAATCCAAAAATTTCAAAAATCCGAGATAGCAGTTTTGTAGCCCTGTCCAATCTACAGCTTTTATGTTCTTATCATTTTTCTGTATTTGCAAATCTATAGGCCTGACAGCTCTTCCCGCGAAACCCTTTTTTGGGTCGAAAACGGCAGAACATGACGTCACTCTGACGTCATTTCCGGCCAACCTATCATAGCCTTTGGAAAAATTTTTGGTCACAATGTGTAAAATTGATGTCCGGGAGGGTACTGAAAGTTTGGTGACGATCGGCGCAGCGGTTCTGGAGATATATCGAAAAGTCTGGAGGGGGGGGCAAAAAATAGCCCCCCCCCCCACCAGGGCGCGGGTTAAAGTCAGGCCTCAGCTCAAAGCAAAAGCATATTGCTTCCATAAAAGAAAGTATTCAATGCATGTGTGTCATTGGACTTGGGTTCATAGACCTCATCTGCTCACTACATATTAGCCGTTTTGGCGACGGGTTATCGAGTGAATGCACCTAACTTGACCAAATCTGCACCAAATGTGAGCCAAATGTTATAAGAAGTTTTATTCTTTTCAAATATTTTATCCTTTCAATGTCTTTCTTTTTTAAGTTATCGTTATCGTTATCGTGTTATCGAAGTGACTGATTCGGTTATCGAGTTATCGTTATCGAAGTCCGGGTCAAGTTACGAGTGCCCACCACTGTAAAAGCCGACACATGAGGATACGGGTCATTGTCCTGGAACCGAAGAGCAGCGTCGCGTAGGCGGTAGATATTTGACACTTTCACAGCGGCCGCCTCTGGAACGGCCCCACTACTCACCTCACCGGTATTAGCTGCGTGTAGATTGCAAATGGCCTTCATACCATGGTTTAGTGCGCATAGTGAGACTTTGAGAATTTTCGATTACATAACAGCCATAAGAAATTATTGCAATGCGAAATTATTCGCCATGTGGTACCGGAACCTGACTATATCAGCTCATGCAAAGCCAGTGCGGTGAGAAGGCCAATAAACGCGAATGCCCACGTGATCGATTTCGTGACAGACGGACGGCAGAGGCGTGACCCACTCGTTCGGTAACGTCACGTGACGTCTTTAGCACGATCCAGCGGTGGAAGTTATGTAACATTTGTCCTAATCTCCCGGCGCGATATCTGCCCACAATGCCGGGATATCCCCACCAAAACTTAGGAAAAAAAGAAACGCGCACTTCGGGGAAACCTAGACAGGGGAATTCTCTCTCGCGTCTCTGGATTACTGGGCGGTACCGTAACCCGCGACACAATGCATAGTTTTTGTTGCAGGGGCAGATTTATTTCATCGGCATTCGCGTGAGCATGGCTGCTCGAAAACCCTCGAAACACATGCACGTGAGTGCGGTAAAACCTTCATTGACATAGGTTATTCTCTCACCACCGTATTCTTCGAGCTCTCGCCACATTCCGACGGCTTAACTGACTAATCCGTATATGACAGCCTCTGCTAATGGCCTGTCATTTATTGATGTCTGCTCACCAGCTCAAACATAAGCGTCCTGTTTATATTGTACCAATGCACGTTTCTTTGCATTTCACCATAGTTGTCGTGTCCTTGCCAGCTGCTTTACATTTGGTACAGCGGGGCAGCTGACACAGCGCTGCTCCACCGCAGTTGCAGCACTGCAGATAGTGATAAACCGAACAGGACAATTCACAGACCTCACACGCTCTATGTGACGCACCTGGTTTTCAGCCAGGCCACCTCCATGGCGGAGACGAGCTGCCCCTCAACGCCCGGCACCACCATATCGGGCTGGATAATTTCGTTCTGCTCGTAGTGGAACAGATAGTAGCCCATCTGCTGGAGCGCCAGGAACGTCTTATACATCTCCCGGTAGAATGTCATGTGCTTCCACACGGGCAGGAACGAGGTGAGGTGCAGCTCGACGCCCAGCTGCTCGACGTTGGTGGCCAGCGGCGAGCGGTGCCCGAGCATCACCTGCTGCCGCAGCACCTCGAACTCGTCAAACTCCACGTCCATCTTGAGGTAGTGCACGGTGCGCTCCTGGTGGCCCAGGTAACGCATGAACGTGTCCAGCGTGCGGATCTGCCAGCCCTCGCGCGTGACGTGGTCCCAGGCGCCGATGCCGTACCGCAGGAACGAGATGGTGCCGTTCATGGAGCCGCTGGCCAGGTCGATGGACGGGTCGAAGGCGAGGACCTCGCAGCCGAACCACTCCATGTCCCAGTCGAACGACCAGTCGGTAGAGATGCCGAACGAGTAGACCAGACACCGGCGGCTGGTGTGCAGCGTGAACTCGCCGTCCATGCAGACGTACTTCTGGCCGTCCTGCACCTGCCGGTTGTCCCGCAGCCTGCGGGCCTGCGCGAGAGAGGGGCGATCGCTCAGCGACTGACGACTGGAGTCAGGACCCGACCGCCACCAGTGGTCGGGTCCCGACACAGCGGGAGGATCGGCAGACCACTGACCATAAGACGCGTCACGGGCGACATATCATCTGTCCCCCAACCACTGGCATGGAGCCTGTAGTTCTGCGGGTCCTACCCCTGATGGATTCCAAGATATTCGAAAAACAATGCTGGCTTCAGACAGTCTCACACCTAGAGGTCACTACCTGCTGAAGGCCTCACGTAGATAAGAGAAAGCCAGTTCAAAACTCAGGGAGCTCGGCCACACAAGCCGTCCAACTCACGCCGTATCCACCGAAGCGTGCCTTCTTGTGGCAGGCCCTGGGGTGCGGTTTGGTGAGGTAGGTGAACAGCTCCCTCAGCATCACCCAGTCGTCCTCAGGGAGCGGCGGCAGCGCGCGCACCTCCATGTCCGCGCGGCACACCGGGTCGCCGGTGCTGTGGACGAACAAACCAGGGTTGTCAACAAACATATTTTAATTCACCGAATCCTCAACTGAATTTGAATATAATGACAAAATTACAAAATACGGGTATATTCGGGCATGCCTCTTCGTCGACCTGGCAGGTGAAGAAATTTGATAAAGAGTCATGCCCGAATATACCCCAATTTTGTAGTCTCGTCATCATACTCCGACTAAATTTCAGAATGGGCCACTTCAAATATGCTTATAATCATCATGATGACCATGCTCACAGCGCTTTACCCTTTGAAAAAAAGACATTTGCAAGGGATAAGGTAGCCTCCTAAGTTTCTCGTGATTGATTACTGCTGTAAGACACATTTCAATGTTAATGAACAAATTGGTATAGAGGAAAAGTAAAGAAATTGCGCTCATCAACATCTGGGTACTTTCTGTATGATTCTTTCAAGCATCATTTTCAACAATTTACACCGATTTTTTTTGTCACCTGTTTTCAAACAAATTACGAGTATTTGCCAGTGTGCACCACAAGTTTTGACGGCACAGAGTCGTCACCCGGTTCCAGGACGGGTCAGCCGGCGCCCCCCCCCCCCCTGCGGCGCTGGGTGCCGCCGTCACCGCGGCGCCCCCGGACGTCTCACCTGCTGACGGCGGGCGCCGGCCGCTCCATCCGGGTGACCACCATCACATACACCCAGAGCAGGGCCGCAGAGGCCACCGTCTTGAGGAGGCCGGCGCGGGGCCAGCCACGGAGCGTCATGGCCGCAGCACGGTCCTACAGCGGGCCGTCACATCAGCGCCGGCCGGCCGCGCTGCCGCTGCTGCCACTGCCGCCGGCTGCTGCTGTCACTGAGGTCGGCTGCTGCCACTGAGGCCGGCCGAGCTGCTGCTGCTGCTGCTGCTGAGAACGAGCTGCTGCTGCTGTCATTGACCACTGAGGCCGGCTGCTGCCACTGAGGCCTCCCGGGCTGCTGCTGTCACTGAGGCTGGCTGCTGTCACTGACCACTAAGGCCGGCCCGTTCTACTGCTGCCACTGACCACTAAGGCTGGCTGCCGCTGCTGTCACTGCCACCGAGGCCGGTCTGCCGCCACTGACCACTGATGCCGGCTGTCCGAGCCGCTCTCCGCGGCAGCGTGCAGCGGTCACTGACCCGTGCACGCTGCACTCGGCGCGGCAGAACAGCGCCGGAGGCGCCCCGAGTCGGACAGAGCGAGCAGAGCAGAGGAGCGAGAGAGAGAGAGAGAGAGAGAGAGAGAGAGAGAGGAGAGAGACGGAGAGATGGAGGGTGGGAGGAGGGAGGAGGGAGGATAGAGGAGGGAGGATAGAGGAGGGAGGATAGAGGAAGGAGGATAGAGGAGGGAGAGGGAGGGAGGTAAAGAGAGTGGGTGGACGTGGGGCTTATAGAGAGGCTAGATATGAGTGGTTAAAAACACATTTTTGTAACATAATGCTACAACCTTTCCCAGAATCGATCACGTTAGCCCTTGCCCGTATAGGGGGGAGGGGGAGGTCGAACGGACCTTCCTTCGGTTTTTCACAAAAAAAAACTCGCGTAAAAAGCTGCTGATCGCGACGAAACTTTCAGTGCCATCGAGGTAATCAAGTTTAGACCAACCCTGAAAATTTCATGACCCTGACCCAAAGTACTTTTGACCTGTGACCTATTTCTCGAGACCATGTTTGGCCGGAATCGCGATTCGGCGTATGTCGGCTTGCATTAGCCGCGAGTTTGCAGTCTTTTCGTGGTTTCAAGCGTCCAAACATGTGACACGATGCTGCTCCCATGCAAAAGGGTGGGTGTCAAGGTCACCTGAAGGTCAGGTCAGGTCATTGACTTTTGATGACCTCAGTTCACGTTTTCGAGTTTTACATGTTTCTAAGCTAGTTTTTTTAGCTGAATTCGAATTAAGCAGCCATTTGAACATTTACGAAGTAGTTTTGGTGCCTTCGTAACATGCTACGAAGCTGTCAGAGGCGGTTGACACCTACTACGAATACTGGTTGACCTGACCTGACCTGATCCGACCCGGCATAAATGCATGAAGTTATCATCTGTGATCAAAACTAACACGACATTTGTGATCAGCACCCCGGAAAACCCCATAACAGCCACACTTTTCGACGTTCTAACTTACTAACAGGACCGTATTTTCCCGACTTTTGGGTCATTGACCTGACCTGGAAGTCAACCGATAACCTAGGTCCTTAAAATTGGGTATCATCGGCTTCCTCTCGTGACGGGCAACACGCTCGTTTTTCCGCGAAGCTCTAGCTCAATCAGGGGTCTAACGGCAAGGGGGGTCCAACGGACCCCCCCCCCCCCTTGTACGTTCGTGGCTGGCGAAACACCAATACGGGCGAGAGTTGCCTAATATCGCCAAGTCCATTTTTAAAACCGGTGAAGTACTTTCGGAAAAGGCATCATGTCGAAACAGTCCGCGGATAGCCCTACGAGGCGCGGGGGGTACATGGAAAATCGGTTATCCCGCGCACCGACGGGGGTCTGCGCCAACTTCGCACCGACGGGGGGGCGGATGACCGCCCCCCCCCCCCCCCCGAGATCTCGAGAACGAAGCAAGATAGCGACAAGCGGTAAACGGCATCGGATACGCACGGACAAGGTCTACAATTTTTACAAAGGTCATTTTCAGGTCAGGTCAAAGATGACGTCACAGGGGTCGAAAAAGTCAAAATGGCGGCGCTAGATATAGAGAGTTTTTCTCGAATAAATTTCGAATTAGTCAAGATAGGAACAAACTAAGAGGGCATCATCGTGATCCTCTCGTCAATCCGCATCGAATGATATATATATATATATATATATATATATATATATATATATATATATATATATATATATATATATATATATATATATATATATATATATATATATATATATATATATATATATATATATATATATATATATATATATATATATATATATATATATATATATATATATATATATATATATATATATATATATATATATATATATACAAGTGTTGTTGAACAGAATAGAGAGTTTCGCATTTGTTATTTTTTTGCTCAGACTTTCCACGTTTCGTATAATCTTCTTATTTTCTGGCGTATGTTGAAAGAGGACATTTCCGAGGTTCATAGTGAAAAGAAGGAAGAAGATGAGACACATGTTTAATGAGTAAAGACAAATCAGACGTTTCGTGTAGCATTACACATTTTCAATGGTTTTCAGTTCTGGGCGTACTATTCGCCCAAGCCTTCATGACGTCAGTCGAAGAGACCGCCGTAGCTAGCCTCACTCGCAAGCCTTCACTTTATTGTAGGTATATCGATGATATCCTCGTAGATGTTGAAGATCTGGACGATCTGCATGTCCTTAAAGTCAAACTAGAAGAGATTTCAGGGCTACAGTTCACAGTCGAGCTGAACACAAACGGCAAAATCAACTTCCTTGATGTCGCTATTGACTCATCCGACGTTCAGTATACCACCACAGTGTACAGAAAGCCCACAGATGCGGGACGCTGCTTAAACGGCTCTAGTGTCTGCCCGGATAAGTTCAAAGAGAGCGTCGTTAGAGCATATGTTCACCGGGCCCTTAAGCATTGCTCAAACTGGGAACTTTTCAACCGTGAGCTAAGACACATCAAACAACTCTTGACAAATAATGGGTTTCCAATTTCCCTGATTGATTCGATCGTAAACAAAACCCTATCAGCTTACATGGACAAAAAAGCTCAGTCCCGTGAGGTTGAACCTGACAAAGACACATCCACTACTCACACACTATATTTCAAAAATCAAATGTCCCCGGCTTACAAAAATGACGAAAAGGCCCTCAAAACAATCATCAAACGGAACGTCAGACCCACGAACACATCCCATGAGGTCAGACTAATAATCTACTACAAAAACCCGACGACCAAATCATTAGTCCTTCGAAACAACCCATCCAACGACCCATCTATCCTCAAAAAGACGAACGTTGTATACCACTACTCATGCAAAAAGGGAGACTGTGCGCTCCAAGCTAACAGTGGCTACATCGGACACACAACAACGACACTTAGCAGAAGAATAACAATGCACCTGCAACAGGGCGCGCTGCTGACACACAACGACACACACCACCAAGACGACCATCTCACACGAACTGACATCACTAAGAACATCACCATACTATGTCAAGAAACAGACAAGAGAAAACTGCATATACTGGAAGCAGTTTACATCAGAAAACTGGAACCTAAAATCAACAGACAGGTCAACGCCAGAGGGATACTCCAGCTTTTTGAAGGTGCCCCGCCATAAACGGAACGCAGGACAACACGCGAAGTGATTAATTCAAGTCGCTCCACTTCCTTGCCACATTCGAAACCATCTTCGAAACACCGATCGATATTGTACATTTGATGTGTTTTTATATGTCATCATGTCATCATATTAATCTGTAATCATGTAACAATCAACCATTGAAAATGTGTAATGCTACACGAAACGTCTGATTTGTCTTTACTCATTAAACATGTGTCTCATCTTCTTCCTTCTTTTCACTATGAACCTCGGAAATGTCCTCTTTCAACATACGCCAGAAAATAAGAAGATTATACGAAACGTGGAAAGTCTGAGCAAAAAAATAACAAATGCGAAACTCTCTATTCTGTTCAACAACACTTGTATTGCCAACAATCTGCTTCCCAGCTACAGTAATATATATATATATATATATATATATATATATATATATATATATATATATATATATGTTGACCTCGAAAGGTCAAGGTCAAAGGTTGACCTCAGGTCACGTGACCTCGAGGTCATCATGTATATCATTCGATGCGTCTTGACGAGCTGAACACAATGAGACCATCCGCGCGGCTGTATCTTGTTCCTGTACGGAGTTATTGGCAAAAAACCTTTGGTGACCTTTGATGACGTCACATGACCTTACAGCTGCCCAACAGCAAAAAAGACCTCAAGGTAGTGAAGGTTGATCGTATATGAAGTCATGTATGGTATATGGGGCCATTCCGACCCGTTTTAGTGGTAAAAACAGGGAGTTGATTTTTCCCCCATTGACTTATAATGGGGAGGTCGCGAAATTGACCTGACCTTAGGTCACCGACATCAAAATTCCGAGATAAACAAATTGTAGCTACTAATGACCTAATAACATCCTGCGACTTTCAAAGGCCTCCGACATCTACTGTAGCTCTGGCACGGTGACAAAGTTGCAAAAAAGTGACTTGAGGTTGGGTCATTCAAAGTGACCTGGTGACCTGACCTTAAAAGTTAGGAGGTTCAAACTTGCACACCATGTGTAAAATTGATGAGGGAATAGTCGTACCAAATTTCGCGGCGGTAGCGCCGCGGTTTTCCCGCTATCTGCGAAAAACCTCAGGGGGGGGGGCGGATATCCGCCCCCCCCCCCCGTCGGTGCGCGGGTTATAGGTCGGATACGCTGTTACGATAGCAAAACTCAAAGGCTAGACGGACCGGCGCACTGCTGATAGCATTAGTTGCTTTCTCTCATTAATAGGTATACTCACTTGGCGGCGTTTGCGATGGATCATACAAAGTCACATACATGCATGACATAACAAAAGCATTGGTAGTGAAAAACACAGCAGATAACCTGACCAACAACTGAATCTTCTGATTCCTAAGTGGTCGCACCTGAATACAGCGCCCGGTTTCTCTCAGTAGGTAGTCATACAGGCCCATTTCTCAGAACGTGTACCTACGTTCCTACCCGGTGCCGAGGTCGGGGCCATTTTTATAGAACGACTTAGGGATATGTGCAACTTTGTTCAGGTTAACATGACCTGCCCAGGTATGTACGTCGGGGATAATCTCGGATAATGCCACATGTAGGAAGGCAGGGGCGTGTCCCATTCCACAGAGAGTCTGGCCTGAGGTCGCTCTGTGCCATTCGCGGATCATCTCAGATTACAGGTGGTAGTCATTTGCTAAACTATCTGCTTCGAATCCTTCCCTAATCCCTCTCTCGGTCGGACATGATGCTTATCATCCATTAAAACTGAATTGAATATACTCCAGAATGACCTGAGCCTGCGTTTCTGTGCGGGCAGCGTTTGTCGCGACACTTCCTGATAAGATATTAGGTACCCGCGCCCGTGTTTCTGTGCCGTCTCTGGCCGTGTGTGTGGCCAGTCCGCGGCCTCTGGCAGTGTTTGTTTCCCGGGCCGCTCCGTAATCCCGCTGTGCCGCGGCGACTCAGTCGGACATACACGGCACTGGGGGTGAGTCGTGCCGCCGTGAGCCGCCAAAAGTCACCCGTTTCCAGGGATCCAGATTTAGCCGCGGCGATAATCCGGTCCAGTATTACACAATTTGGCGTTTCGTGACGGCGGTAATTACCGGCTTATCGCGGCGCTATTTGCTGCACCTCCGAATGCCTACACCGGGATCAGTTGATCGGCAGCGCCGCCACTTTCCGCCCCAAT